TTATTTTCTCATATAGTTAAATAAAAGTAACGAAAAAGTTGTATTGATAAAAATTAATTTACCCACATAAAGTAACGAAAAAGTTATATTGATAAAAATTAATTTACCAACATGAACTCGCCTAATTAATTGAAAGGAAAAAAAATCAATATTTGTGAAAGTAATAATATGGTTAAAATTAAAAATCTGTTTTTATGTTTATCTCTGACCAACATATTATCAAAAATCTGTTTTTATGTTTATCTCTGACCAACATATTATCAACATGAATCGAGGAAAATCTATATTACTTATATAAATGAAACTATTCCAGACTTTAATAAAATTATTAAATAAAGTAATGTTATCATATCCAAATCGATCTGATTTATAAACGTGCATATGGAAGAAATTAACACATACATTTAAAAAGTTCTCATAATATGGTAAGCGTTAATTGTTCTCATTTTTTTTTATCTCTATATTTTTTTTATTATTCTATTTTGTATAATTAAAAAATTAATTTACTATAAAAAGTATATATTATATAATATATTTTATTAAAATTAAAATACATCTTATAAAAGCACCCCATAATCAACATAGTATATATTTTCACTAAAACATTTATTTATAATAGAGCAAAATATGTAATATATTAATATGTGATAAATAGTTTGACAAATTATATGACTAAATAAAATAAGGAATTTATTTTCTACGCTTTCTATTATAAATTAAAAGTTTTCTTGTACATGTTTTAGTAAATAAAATAATATTTATACAAATATTATTGAATTTATTTATATTTTATTAGTTATATAATGATAATTTAAATAGTTAAATGTAAAATAATTCTAATGAAATTATACTAGTACGTACTCCGTGCGATGCACAGATATAAATATTAAATTAGTTATTTTCACAGGCTTAGCCTTTTTCCGTTTAAGTATAAAAAAAATATAGTTATCATCTATTTTCTACCTCTTTTAATAACGTTAAGTGTAATAAACAATAAGGTTATAATCTATTTTGCATCTCTTTTAATCAGTGTTGTCTTTTTAGTCAAAACATTAAATATGATCATGTTAGGGCTAACTTGTAAATTTATTAATATATTATCTCACTAACAAATTTATACTAATATGAATTTGATATTAGCATATATATTTATTCCTTGATATAAGAGAGAATAACAATTTTACTTATTCTTGTTCACCATATAATACTTAATTACTTATTCCTTGATCAAGATATTTTCTAATTTGCATTATAAGGATTTATAGTTTATTTAGCATACCCTGCAATAAAAATATATTTTACAACAATTTAATTATAGAAATATATCAAAATAAAAAAATGAAAAAAAAAATAATCATGGGTGCCAATAATATACAAATAAATGCTAAAAATAGTTAATACATTTCAATTTTAATTTTTTACCATTAGTAAAACTATTTAATGTATCTGTCATTATCTCTTAAATGGTAAATTATATTAATTTGAAGAAAAACATATTTTTTATATTTAACACAAGAAAGCTTAAGAAAAAAATATATTGGCAAAGACGAATTCACCAACTTGATTTTGTCTGCTTAGTTGGAAAAAAAATTCTATCTAATCTGTTACGATTTTCCATAATAAAAAATGAATATTTGTAAAAAAAATTAATACTATGATTAGAACTTAAAATAAGGTGTAATATTTATCTTGAGCAAAATATTATCAACATGAATCATGGAAATCTATCTTGTAATTTATTAGAATGAATATCAATGAAAGTATTACAAATATTAATAAAATAATATTTATCTTGACCAAAATATTATCAACATGATTCACGAAAAATCAATCTTGTAATTTATTATAATAAATATCAATAAAAATATTGCAGATATTAATAAATTTATTTAAGTAATTTTTTTTATCATATCTTATTGATCTTATTTGAAAACGTGTATATGAAAGCAATTAATGCATATATTTAAAAAGTTTTCAAAAATGGTACGAATAAAAAATTTCGAATAGCAATAATGAATCAAAATAACAATAAAATTCGGGTGTGGAAAAAAAGAAGAAAGGATATGAATAAATTAAGTGAATAGTAAATATGAAACAACAACAAAATATTAACAAAAACAAATAACTTTTTTTTATTCAATCAACCTAATTTCTTAAACCATCAAACCTAATATTCAAACAAAACTATTAATCCATGAAAAAAAAAATATAAAGAACGTGAACAATATTTGTTCATATTATTGCCAAAATGTATCTTTGTCGTGCTGTTTTCAGATTTTTTGTAGATTGCAAAGCTTGGCCGTTAAAATGAGGTGCTTGCTTCTAATCTGATTTGAGTGCGTCCATGCAAGATCAATCTGAATTTAACGGTGGTCGAGTTATAGATACCAAGGTTACTTTACAATTCATAATTACGAATAAAATAGATACGGTCTTGCTCCAGTTCTTCCCTTATCTTTTGAATATGAACATTGCGTACAACACCGACAATTTGTGCGCCCTACAAATACAAAAAAATATTGATTTAACAAATAATAGTGTATGTAGTTTAAATCGTAAAATAATAATAATAATAAATACAAAAAATACCTCCCTATCTTCAAAGAGGAACTTCATTATGTTGTGTTGAAGATTTGGAGGTGGGCGCTCAAACATACGAACCGCACGAAGTTTTTAACGTGCATCTCTTGTTTCTCTCAATATCATAAATGATACCGAAGGGGTGTTCCATTATCGATTTTTGGTGTACTT